ACTGCTCTTGCTGCATCACGTTCTGCGAGTTCACCAAGGAGACCACCACTGGCGCGTCGACGACACTGAAGAAGCTCGCAATGAAGTGTTGTAGGCGGCATGCGTCATAGATGAGTATGGTGCTCTTCTAGCCAGGGCACACTCGGGCCATGTCCTGCGTCAAGCCATCAAGGCATCTTGGCGGCGATCGACGGGTTCATGTCAGCGTGGCACTACGTGAGGCCGTACGTCTGGTCGGGGCGTGGTGCCGGTGGTGTTCGTGGCGAACCCTGTGGACATAGCGGCGGTGGCGGCGCGCGTTCATGTTGTTTAGACAGCCTGCGTAGAATGAGTTGTCGGCATTGGCTATTGTTGCGAGGACGTTGAGATTGGCCTTGGGTGGCTCTGCGGGCTGCCTGCTTGCTCAGGTAGCGGCAGCCTGGCAGCCTGGCGTGCTTTGGTGGCTTGCACGCGACAACGTGGCTGGCCTCGCGTGGCTGCCCACTCGCTCAGCGATGGTGTGGCCGCATGGCTACCGGGCACGGCCACCAGCCTAGGTTCGAGCCCGCCTTGCACGGGCACGTCGTGGCTGGTCCGATGGCTTTCAACAACGATGGGGTAGCAGCGCCCACCGATCGAGTTCTCTCTATTGGGGCTATTTTGAAGAAGAGTTATAGAAGGGAAGGGGATCAATGAAAAAGTATCAAGCTTTCGAACCGGTATGGACCTGCGGTGCATAACATAAAAAGTTTAGGGACCCAAAAATGCACTTTGAGAGTTGATGGACCTAGATGACATCCCTCTTAAAAGTTAATGAACCTGTGGTGCATTTTATTCAAAAAGAAAAAAGCGAGTTGGGCTAGATTAGTTGTTGGTTTGAAAAGCAGAAAAGGGGAAGAAGATAAACAAAATTCCTTTTCTTTTTACCGGTTTTCAAGTTGAATTTCATGCAAAACTAGTCTACCAAAGCAATCAAATATGCACCATCATGTACGCAACAAAAATATTTCCAAGCCTTATATTTAATTTCATAAAAATATATTATTTGCCCTATGTTAAAACATAAAAAATTGAATAAAAAAGGAAAATTATTTGCTAATTAGGAAAATAAAGTCTAGGGTGTTACATACACCTTTAAAAGTCTTTCATGTGGGATTCAAATGGGTTTCATGTGAAAATGGAATGAAAACAATGAGGTGGTGAGATATAAAGTAAGACTAGTAGCACAAGGGTTTGCCTAGAAACTCAACATTTGATTTCAATCAAATCTATCCCCGGTTATAAGTGGAATAACATTCCTATATTCAATACAACTATTAGTTCAGAATCATTTATCTTTACAGTTGATGGATGTATAGATGACATACTTATATAGGCCACTTGATTTGGATATTAACATGAAGGTTCCTAATAGAATCTCTATTATGACCATAATGCAAGTAGCACCATGTATTATGTAAAATTGTATAAGTCACTATATGGCTTAATTGAGTTAGGACAAATGTAGCACAACCAACTAATTGAATTCCTTTTACCAAAGGAGCACACCGATAATGATGACTATCCATGTGTTTTTGTAAAGAAATCTCAAACGCAATTTTGTATTACATCAGTATACGTGGATGATTTAAATATCATTGTAAACCCACAGGATATCAACAAAAGCATGTGATCCTTTAAAGACAAAATTTGAGACGAAGGATTTGGAACAAACCAAATTTTGTTTAGGTCCACCCTGAGGATCGTGAAGTCTAAGAGGAGAGGTGAATTAGGCAACTTAAAACTAAACTATAGGATTTTATTTTTTACTTATTAAAACCTATGCAAGATATTTATCTAAATGTGCATTACGGTTTTGCTAAGAGTTGCTATCTCTACCACAAAAGAGTTTTGCATCCTAGGTTTGATTCCTATCACTAACCTAGCAAGCTAAACTAGGAATATAAAGCACACAACCTAGAAAAGTATGTAAGTGCAAAAGCTTAAATGGGATAGAGATGCAAACTCTTGTTGACGACTATATATTTTACCTAAGGTATCGAGAAGCTCGAGCTTTCCCCTAATCCTCGTTGGAGCCCCTCGCATGGGTCAAGCTCCTGGTCAGTTAACTCAATGGAGCCCATGGGCCTTCCCCACACACAAGTAGGTCTTTGTGAGGTCTTTCTGCTGGAATGCTTCCGGCTATATATCTTCACTATCAAGCTTCCAACTCAAACACTTTGAGGCCTCGTTCCCTTCAGTACAAGTTAGGAGACCACACCACAAATGTGTTTTTTGATCTTGCAATATTACAAAGTCCCTAGTATATAATAATGGTGCATGCAAGCATTGAGTGGCAAGAGGTATGCAAAGCTCACTAAACACTAAAGCTAAGCCTAGAGCAAATCGCTAGTATGGTTTTCTAACTAGCCTAAACACTCCACAGAGCACTACACTAATTACCTAATCTCTCCTTAAGCACTAGAGATGAGCCTCAACTCATAAGTAACAGTACTTAGCTAGCTCTAACAACACTAAAATGACCGCCCAAAGGGGGTATATATATATAGCCTCCACCCCTTAAAGAGCCATTGGCAAAAGGATTGCGCTCACGCAGTACCTATCAAAAAGCTCTGGTGAGGTCACCGGAGAATTTCACTGTCGGATCAGCTAGTCGTTGGACTAGCCGTTACCGACAATTGGAGTAGTCTAAATTTTGGAAGGGTCTCTTAGGGACCACTGGAGTTTTTCGGTGACTCTGGGAGCTCTTTTTTTAGCACAGGAAGCACCATCTTTTCTCTAGTGCCTAGCACCGAATTTCTCTGGTGCCTTCTCTGCAGAATCTTCCATGGTTGCACCGCTTTCTCCAATACTTCCCCCTGTATACTACAAGAGAATTCTGGTGGGTCTATAAACCCTCTTCAAAACTATCTTTGCCCGAGTCTAAGCTCCGGTGCCTCTGCCAAGGCACACCCGGAGAATTTTGGTGAATCTAGGCATAGTAGAGCCGGTTTGGCTCCGTTTCTTCGCGTCTTCTCGTCCGAGCTTCTTCTACTTGATGTCTTGGACTTCTTGCATGTCCTCTAAGTCTTTAACAGCAGCTCATTGTCCTTTCTTAAGGTGTTGATCACTTGGTCTTCACGTTGCCTTTGTCCAAGCCATCCTTGCATCTAATAGATAAAATACCTTGTATACTAGCAAAACAACATTAGTCCATTTGATCATATTGTCAGACAATCAACAAAATCAACTATATGGCCCTAGGTAGGTGCCATTTCCTTACATTCACAAATTGAGCACCTCCCCTCGCGAATTTTAGTGCGTCAATCTGCCTACATTTAGAAAATACTAATGGAATTTAATATGGGCAAATCATATCCATCTAAATCAGATTGTTCAATCTCTAGACATGAAGAAAGATCCAAGTAGACCAAGGGATAAGGACAGAAAGATACTAGGACCGGAGGTTCCATATCTCGATGCCATTGGAACACTTTGTATCTTGCAAATTGCACCGGTCGATACTGCATTTGCAGTGAATCTACTAGCTATACATAGCGCTGTTCCAACAAAACGTCATTGGACGAGACATAAACGTATATTAAGATATATTAATGGTAGAAAAGATCTTGGATTATTCTTCCAAAGAAACTAATACCCAACTATGATTAGACATAGATATACTGATGCTGGTTATATGCCAAATCTCCATAATATACTAGATCCCAAACAGTCTTTGTATTTTTATATGGAGAAACAACCATCTCATAAAAGTCATGTAAACATACTCTAGTGACAACCTCTACAAATCATTCTAAAATTATTACACTATATGAAGCATAACATGAATGTGTATGGCTCTGGAGAATGATTAGCCACATACAACAAAGTGGTATTGGTTCTATTAAATTGCCAAGAATTATCTACGTATAATGTTGTTTGTGTTACACATGTGTAAATATGTTAAATGAACTATAACCAAGTGGGGAATTAACATTTTACAATAAAGTCTTGTGATATTCTTGCAGATTTATTCATGAAGTCTTTACCGCAAACTACGCTCTAAAAATCTTGTTCATAGTATTAGTATGCCACGACTTCGAGACTGGTAAACACATGGGTAGATGCTCTCTAAAAATAATAACATGTACTAGCATAATATAAGGTATTTGATGAGACAATATTAACTCAAGAATGCCTTACATTTACTTATTCTCTTAGTTTTTTAGGGAATATCTAAGACATGTAATGTTGAACTTGCTTGTGTTTTTTTTTCCTAATAAAGTTTTCTCATATAAGTTTATTATACAACAATACAAATCCATAAATGTGTTATATCATTTATCCCTATTTTTTCCACTGGGTTTTTAAGAAGCTTAATGTCGTATCAACATTATTGCATCATATCTTTCATATAAGGTTTTTGGAGGATTAAATGCAATTGATTAATGTCAAGTCCTCGATCAAAAGGGATGTTAAGAACCAACCACAGGAGGATGATCTCTTCCCTCCGATCAAGATCCATACAGATTAGTGAATATACATCAGGATATTGTATATCACCGACACCGCCAGCAAGGGTTACATCCGTTGAGGGATAGGCTTTACCGAGCCGACGTCATTCATACCATGGCAGCGATTTAACATGTATATAAACCCGATCAATCAAGGGAAAAACACACTTCAATCTTTCTTGTTCTCGTTCTTAGGCCCTGTTTGGATTGTAGCTGCTAAATTTAGTCCCTCCTAAATGGTTTAATCTCATTTAGTCACTCCAGAATTGCTAGAGAGGACTAAAGCCCTTTTAGTCCCATTTAATCATAGTGTTTAGATAAACAAAGGACTAAATAAGACTAGATTTAGAAGCTCCTAGCCAAACCAAACACCGCTTTACATTAATTCTCAAAGAGAATAAACGAGATTAGAATCTAAGAACAGTGGCATGTAAGTCTATTCATGGCAAATGAGGGATTACAGCATATGGCAATAGCGTAGCATCTGATGAATTATATATTGCTGTGTTCTTTTAGAAATATAACACTTCACATGTTCTTGCCACGCCTTTTCTTATCAGCAGCACTACGCTTTGCCTTAAGTTCAACTCCAGCTCGCTCAGATGCTTCTTCACGAATGAGTTCCTCTTGGCGCTTCAAAGCCATCGCCTCTTGGTATGCCACTTCTGTTCGGCTGTTTCAAGAGTTCCGAGACTTTAACAAAGTGGGATGAGCATGTAAAATAACCATAATTGAAGTGGGATTTGAATTATGAATTCCATCAGAAGATTTATGTTTCTCCAAGTAAAAGAATTTCAAAACATATTTTTCCAAAACCTGATGAAACAATTAGACAGAAAAACAAACAGGGGCATAGAATTTCTGCAACTCTGCATTAGCATATACTCCCTCTGTGGCTTTTCTAGACACATTGCTTTTACAATGTATCTACATAGTAAATCTAGGAAAACCAAAACATCTTATAATTTGGAATGGAGGGAGTATTAAAATAAGCAACATAAAAAAGGCATGCACCTCAAGTGAGGCTGACCTAATATCTATTCATGAAGCAAAATATTGGAACAAACAACTAGAAAAGTTTGCTTACCTGAATATATGAGCTAAGGCAAAAAGTTCCAGTGTCTTCCAGCCTAGCTCTGTAAGCCGTCTATCATCACGCTCAATAGAATCTTTGTCGAACTCGTCACTTGAGTTGTCATCCTACAATAAGGGGATTTGTTAGGGATCCATACATACAGTAGAATAAAACCCATAAAGAGATAAATTGGATAGGGGAAACATGGATGATGAATACCTTTGTGCGGTACTGTGATCCTTTATCATCTTTTGTGGGCAATGGTTGGTGTGGTAGTGTGTCCAATGCAGCTCTTTCAAGCAAAAGTATCACATCATCAGCCAAAACAAACATGTCCTGATCAATAAGCACCATCGGTGTGCTCTGAGCATCTGTCTCTGTTAGTTTAGGTATCCCCTTTTTGTTTTTGCTTTGGTATTCTAGTGCCTTAAATCCGCTATATAGTGATTCAATTACCAAGGTTGATGTAACTTCTTTCTCTATAAAGAATTGTTTCACTAGAACTCTCAATATAGTTTCAGTCTTTTCCCTTGTCATGTGCCGACGCACACTTGGATCCATTGCCAGCCAGAATCCACTGAAACTGCAATACACCAAAAAATCAAAAATAAAAAAATGGCTTGGAAATGAGACTGGTCATAAAACAATAATGCGCCGTTCATAAGTTTATCTAACCTGGACCACCCCAGTTTATCCTCAATGAACCTGCTAAGCTTCCTTCTTCTTTCATCAATAAAGCGCCGGCAAATTTGTTCCACATTTGATAGATACACCCTAATTAGTTCCCTTCGGTACTGGCCGTCAAAGGAACGAAATGACGGTTTGTCTTCTCCCTCAAATATTATAATGCAGAAGCAGACATGGTTATGCAAAGTAAACGGATACTTCCCACAATCCCACTTGAAAATAATTGATGCTAGCATTGAATGTAAGAGTAAGATGCAAAGAAAACAGATACCTGACAACTTGAACTTGGACTTTGATGGTAAGAACATCCTCAACAATAAAGCCATCATGTAATTTTGACAGCTCCATAAACTTTTTCCACCCCCAATCATGCTCTTTCTTCCAAAACCGATGCAGTGTATCTGAAATGATACTTTCCGTAAACTACAGTTGTAGAAGGCAAGCAAAGGCACTAGGAAAGCCAGATAGTAGTTCATTGAACTCACCAGAATACTTAGATTTCTTAGGGTCTCTATTAATTACAGCTATTGTAAATTGTGCAAAGTGATTCCATCCTGAACAAAAGCAAATCATATTGAAGATATATAGAGGAGTCACAAACTGAAGTGAGTCAAATACAATGCATCAAATTATGCATCTACCTGGGAGTAGCTTATCATGGTTGGCAACACAGAGAAAGAGTGAGAGGTGATTGCAGACATCACATCCTTGTGGGTAAATTAAGATATACCTGAAACTCAACTGATAGATCTCAAAATATGATGCAACAAGTATCAGCCGATAAAACCAAAAGGAAATTAAAATATATAATAAAAAGGACATAATAAACAAAAAAAGGGCAATAAAATTAAATGCATAATTTTACCATTACAATGGCTTTTCTTCTCCATGGCAGTAAATTTTCAAATAATATTGTTCGAGAAAAAATGTTAAAATTATATCAGACCAAGAAAGGCCATATAACAAACAACATATGGCACAAAATTAAAAGGGCGCACCAGTCACAGAGAGCTCCCGCTCATGCAAGGGTCCTGGGAAAAGGTGTTAGTGGCAAGCCTTACCCTCGCCTATGCAATGCGACGAGATCACGACTTCGAACCGGGACCTTCCGGTCACAGGCAGTAAGACTCTACCGCTTGCACCAGGCCCAGCCCTTCAACATATGGCACAAAATTAAATACATAATTTTACCATTACAATAGCCTTTCTTCTCCATGCAATAAATGCAAAACCTGTAATTTTCTCCCCAAAATATGGATTGCCAATGACAAGCATTACAGCAATTACCGCTTTCATTGACCGACTACCAGCAAGTTCAAGGTCCCTGTGAGTTTGTGATACCTAATGAACCTATTTTCAATAATCAGGCAACTCACAGGGTCATCTGTGCAGCTGTGCTCAAGGCTACAGATTATTTTCAACCTAAGCTGTTCAATCACTTGTCAAATGCGTGGTCACCTTTCATAAGTTGTAGTTCAAGTAAAATATGCAATAATGCAAATAGTGGAACCTGTGCTGAATATTAAACAACTGGTTGTGTTTGCAACTTCCCTACTTAACAGCTATCCTTGTAAAGTCACTGAAAACTAACAGCCAAATCACACCCAGCAGGCAAGTAAGAAGCCCAGATACAGCATAGTAGAAACATGCTGGTAGTAGAAAAAATATAAAAAGGAGATGCCGAGATGGTGAGTCCAATTAATGCAAACAAAAAGACCATACCACTTATATCCGCCGACATCAAAGGAATTACTCCTTAGCTCACTCCTGTTGATTTGGGAGAAATTATCAATTCTCCATGTAAACTTTCCATAAAGTTCAGAAGGCCTAGGTCCTATACAATAATACAAGACAATGGAATTAACAGGTCAAGCACCAACTGATGGCAAAAACTTAAATATTGCGAATGATTCAAATGCACAAATGAGCTTATCAGAAACATGTAGTTCAGCAGAATATTAAAAAAGCAAAAGTAATCATCATCTCCACATAATTACAAGCTAATTTGAAGAAATAACATGTCCAACTCAGTCATGTTCACACACCATACAAGAAGCTACATATAGTTTATAATGTAAAAACCTTTTTAGAATAAGCATCGTCTAGGTCCCAGCCTTTTAGGACAGCGAATTATAATGCTAATTTGCTAAAGGTTCTTGAATGCAACAGAACAAGCTGCCAGTGTAACAAATGAAATAGGGATGCATATCTAGTATTCCAACAGTCCCTGGAAGAGTAATGCTTCTGGTACTCTAAAAAAAGTTTAACATATGACGCATTTCCAAGCAACTTAACTACTTAGTTACACAGAGGACCAAAAGGGAACCCCATAAGCTTTAACTGTGTAACCGTAATTGATCTAAATGACTAAATATGGGGAGAAACCCCACGACCGAAAAGTCAGAACAACGTCCATATGCACTCCCACAGTCCCACTTTCTTGGACCTTCATCATAAAGGACACTTCTGGGGTGTTTGGTTGGTGGAATGATGTGGTCCATCACCATCTCACTCTCTAGTTTTTTGTTTGGTTTGTGGAATAGAATGAGTTGATCCATGACCACCCCATTCCTCACAAGCTAACAATTAGTACTAGTATGAGGAATGAGGACATTCCACCAAATTTGAGGAATGGACCAAATGCATCACTCCATCTAGATAAGTTGATTCCTCAAACCAAACACACCCTTCAGTTATCACCTTCTTAGTGCATCTCTAGTCACGCTGTTCTTGCCCAAACCAAACCAGTGAATGCACATTGGTACAAGCTCCAACAATGGCCCAGGTTCATCAGGCAGCTCATTATATAATAATTCTAAGCCTAAAAAAAAGGGCGTACTAAAAGTCAGAGAGCTCCCGCCTGCGGGAAGTGGGTCCGGGAAGGGTGTCGATGGCAGCCTTACCTCGCTGTGGTAATGCGAGGAGACCATGACTGAACCTGGACCTTCCGGTCACAGGCGGTAAGACTCTACCACTTACACCAGGCCCGCCCTTCATAATAATCCTAAGCCTAATATAAGTAATAAAAAAAAGGGCAGACCTAGTGCCGGAGGCTCCCACATGAGTAGGGTCTGGGGAAGAGAAAAACCGAGGCAAGCCTTCCCCCGCAAATCTGCGGAGAGGCTGCTTCGAACCCGCAACCTGGTGACTCAGTGAGACAGCTCACCACCGCACCAGGCCTGCCCTTCTTCTAAGCCTAATATAAGTAACCCAAACAAACTGCAGTGACCTACTAAACTCCCTGAAGGTAATATATCTAAGTCGGCATCCATCTTATTGCATTTTGTAATTGTTTTTAAGACTGCCTGAGCCGCTGAATCCTACATGGGTTTGGGTTAAGTTTTTTTAGATAATGGAACAAGGTTCCAGCCGGGTTTGGGTTTACCATAACTAAAATCAGTTTAATTAGAAGCTTTATGGAATGGTTTAATTAGGAATGGAGAGATCTAGCTGGTCTACTTAGGTCATAACATCAGAAGAAAGATTAGAAAATCTAGCCAAAAACATTTGCAAAATAGAAACACGGACAAATGTGAGAAGAGCTAGAAAACATACCACAATCGTCATCATCAGTGTCCGAGTAAGCTGGTGAGGTGGATGGTACTCCATTCTCAACTTGCTGACTGGATCTTCTCTCAGATAGAGAATTCTCGGAATAATTCTGCTGATCATTTGGCATCTCTTCAGTTGATGAGGATCTACCATCCCCAGGATTGTAAGCGCTGGCCATTATTCTATCACTTGTGGAAGTCAGCTCTGTAGCACTCCAACTTTTCCTTCCTGCAGTGCCACGAAACTGGAATAATAAGTCTCTGTTTCAGTAGTGGACCAGAGTTAAAAAGAAAGAGACATCCAAAGTAAGTGCTACACAATTCCAAAGGGTTTTGAGGTCTTGTGGACAGTGCACATAATCAGTAACTAGCCAGTCTGTAGAATTCATGCTGCTAATTTCCAGAACAGAGAACTATGTTCACATGGTATCCGGAACCGGACCCCACTGATGACTAGCCCAATCCAATCCACTCCAATCTAGGCGCAAATGAAACTGTTGTTGCGGGAGATAAAGGAAGAACCGCGGCGCAATGCTCACCTGTCTCCCTGGAATTCCCCGATTCAGGTCGGATACAATACAACAACCGACGGGGAGGCCGCGCCCGCGGGTCGTGCGTGCGTCCCCACGCCCGACGGAGATCGAGAGCTCCTCCTCCCTCCCGGTCCTGCACGAGGCGGTGGAGGGGCGGCGCCGTGGCGGCGTACGCGTGAGCGCCTCTAGTCGAGGCGAACAAATCGGATCGAGCTAGGCGTAGCCGCCTAAAGCCCAGTTCGTTCTCTCGTGTCAGCTGTTGAGGCTATTTATAGGAGTAAGTAGTACATAAAATTTGGCAGTTATTGTACAGCTATATATTCGGCAATTATCTACCCGCATTTGGTTTTATAATATATTATATCTTCGTTGCATTTAACGAAGAATAGCGACACTTAAGTCTACCTGGTTTTAGAAATGTTCTTAGAGTAACTCTAATAATATATAAATTTTAATTCTATATATCTCTCATGTCTCCAATAAGAAGGCATTCCATGAATTGTTTCTTTATACGTGTTTATCTCTGCATTATTGCGTTTAGCGGAGAATAGCGTATACCAAAGTATACCTTGTTTTAGAAATGATCTTAGAGCAACTCCAAACTCTCTCTCTCTCTCTCTCTCTCTCTCTCTCTCTCTCTCTCCTGTCTTTGATAAAGAGGCATTCAATGAATGGTTTCTTTGTATGTGTATATCTGCATTAACGTTTCATGGAGAATAGCGTACACACTTAAGTCTACCTTGTTTTAGAAATGATCTTAGAGAGCAACTCCAAAATATATAAATTTTAATCTCTATACATCTCTCCCTGCCTACGATAAAAAGGCATTCAATGAGTGATTTCTTTGTATGTGTCTATCTACATTGGGTTTAATGGAGAATAGCTACACCTAAGTCTACCTATTAGTTTTAAAATGATCTTAGAGCAACTCCAAAAATATATAAATTTTAATCTCTATATATCTCTCCGACTCAATAAAGAGGCATACAATGAATTATTTCTTTGTATATGTCTATTCCATTATGCTTAACGCAGAATAGCGCATAATCAAGTCTACCTTCTTAGTTTAAAAATGACTTAAAGCAACTCCAAAAATATATAAATTTTAATCTCTATATATCTCTCCCATCTCCAATAAATAGGCGCTCAATGAATGGTTTCTTTGTACATGTTCTCATAATCTCGAACTAAATCTCTAATTATTGTTCTTTCGATGAAGACACTCAAAAGAGTGCCACATCTGATATATCTAAAAAAAAAGCTGGTACAAAAAATTAATACTAAGACACAAGATGATCTTAAAAATAAGAGTACATCAAAGACTAAACCAACTCATCTTTTTCCTTCGAATGTCCACCGTTTGCCGAGTTTTAAGATCACATTGTGAAGACAACAAAGAAAAGATATATCTGCAAATACTCTCATCTCAAACAAGGCTTTGAAGAAAAAAGAAGCCACTTACACGTCGATCTCACGTAATCACGGGAAGGAAAGTGAAAGAGGATTTTTTCAATCTGCAGCCTATCACCCTCATCTCCTGCCATCTAGGAAAAGGGAAAGGGGGACCTGATGAAGATCCCTATACTAAGTTTTAAAGAAAGGATCCGATGAAGATCCTTATCTAAGTGTTCGAAGGGAAAGAGAATCTAATGGAGATGCTGTTAGGTCATTGCTTAAATGTCAGCAATCAGGGTATGCGCAAAGAAGGTAAATGCGTGCAACGCCATCGTGGTGTTTCTTTTCATGCCGTCGCTCACTCAATTCTCCCTCCCACGCTCTCAAAGATATTCAAGTTTCGTTTTAAACGATAAGTGGGATTGTTTATCGCTTGTACTTTTGTATGAGAGAAAAAATATTATTCTAACTTTATAATTCATTTATCGTAGATAATGGCAAGCGTTTAACATGCTTAAGTTATTGTTTGTCCACGTGTTTCCCTCCACGCTCGATTTGGTTGGGAAACGTAAATTTGAAATGCATACGTAATCAGAAAACGTCGTAGTCAAAAGAGTGGGATTTGATCCCGCGGAAAATTGGGCGTAGTCGAATTTGTACTGGTCTGTAATCAGATTACGTTACAGAAGATGGAACCAAACGCCATCCTACTCTTATTGGCCTGATTTTGCCTTCTCTCGCTCGGTCTTTTTTTTTTTTGAGAAACAGAAATGCAATTCCATTACTCATAGGCTGCACGCTCGGCAGCAAACAGAATTCATGATACAATCTGGGGGATGAGCCAAGATGACTATCATCCTCCGAACACACACACCCCAAAAGCCGCTAAGCTATGCGCCACTTTTGTTACAAGAACGAGGGACAGCTCTAATCAGAAAACTCTAACACAGTTCAGAGAAGCAATTTCCTAGATTTCCCTGATCAACTCTCCGGCTGTTGAAAGGCTCAACTGTTTTGATTCCACCGCCTGCTGGACTTGAAGGGCATCAGTTTCCTGGTGCGAAGTTTGATATACCTAAATTAATCGCTCGGTCTGGATGGGGATGAAACGAGAGGCGTGTGTTACTGCGCAAGGTTCTGTGGTTGCAGGTTGAATTCGATTTGTCACAACATATACAAATTTTGGAGAATACGACACTTGAATCTACATGTTCCAGTATGAACCTCTAAATATTGTTCCATGGAATATATATATATGCACCATGAAAATATGTCAACTCGAAAAAAAAAAGCATGGTACTCAAAACTAAAATGCTTGAAAAATAATGGGAGAAAGAATTAATTGGAAAAAACAAAATATTTTTCAAAAACTAATGGAAGCACACAAGTACACACACCTTCAACCAAAAAAAAAAAATTCTGCTCGAGCTTTACAACTAAAAAAGAAGTCCAAGCACAATAGAAACCCTTTAGGCTGTTTTCTATCCTGTACGAAAGACAGAAGCTTCTAAGAACCGGATCCGATTGCTGGCCAGCCAAAAAAAAAAAAAGAAACTTTGGACATATACTACATATCTTTTCCAAGCGCATCCAGACACGTGCAAATGAAAGAAACAAGAGTTGGACAAAAGATCTGAGTTCTCGAATCCAGCATGCAACATACTTCGACACCACAATCTCCAGTCAATCCAACAACCCAAATTACTGGAAAATGAAACCATATCAGAACCCCACGAGCATATCTTCTGATGTTTCTGTCAAAAACAATCCCGCAGATCTCAGTTATCATCGACTTGATGAAAGACAAAGCTTGGAAATGTAGTGGTGATGTCCTGTCAATTATAGCAATGCAAACTTGTCAGATATCTCAAGAAGGAAAGACAATGGCGATCTT